AATGGTTGATCAATTTTGTTTATCTTTTAAAAAAAATTCTGAAGTTTCATTGATCTTTTCTGTTTTTCAAGTCCCGATTTCATTTATTTCCACTCTGATACCTTTATGATTTCTTTCCTTACACTAACTTTCAAGTTTTGTTTATTCTTCTTTTTCTAGTTCCTATATATATAAAGTTAGGTTGTTTATTTGAGATTTTTGTTATTCCTGGAGTAGGCTTGTATCACTATAAACTTCCCCCTTAGAACTGCTTTCACTGTGTCCCATAGATTTTTGGATCACTGCGTTTTCATTTTTGTTTGTCTCCAGGTACTTCCTTTAAGATGTGATAATTTTATTTATTTACTTTTGGCCATGTTGCAAGGCATGTGGGATCTTAGTTTCCGGAACAAGGACTGAACCTGCATCCTCTGCATTGGAAGCACAGAGTCTTAACCATTGAACCACCAGAAGTCTTGTCTCCAGGTATGTTTTTAATTTCTTCTTTGATTTCTTCAGTGATCCATTGATTGTTTAGTAGCATATTGTTTAGCCTCCATGTGTTTTTTTTCCCCCTGTAGTTGATTTCTAGTCTCATGGCATTGTGGTTGGAAAGATGCCTGATATGATTTCAGTTTTCTTAAGTTTGTTGAGACTTCCTTTGTGGCCTAGTACATTATCTATTCTGGAGAATGTTCCACGTGCACTTGAAGGAATGTGTATTCTACTGCTTTTGCATGGAATGTTCTATATATATTTGTTCAGCTGTTTTAATATAGTGTTTAAGGCAGTGTTTCCTTATTGATTTTCTGTCTAGATGATCTACTGATGCATGTGGGGTATTAAAGTCCCCTACTATTATGATGTTACTGTTGACTTCTCCCTGTATGTCTGCTTATATTTGCTTTATGTATTTAGGTGCTCTGTGTTGGGTGGACACTTGTTATCTATTTTTTCTTTTTTTAATTTTTGGCCACGCCATGTGGCTTGTGGGATATTCGTTCCTTGACTAGGGATCAAACCCTGGGCCAATGGCAGTGAAAGCAGTGAGTTGTAACCACTGGAGCACCGGAGAATCCCCATATCTATCTTTTTAATTATAGTCATCCTAATCGGTGTGAAATGGTATCTAATTATGGCTTTGATTTGCATTTACCTTATGATGATTAATGATGCATTATTTTTAAATTACAAAATAATTTTAAAGAAGTATTTTCATGCTGAGGTTTTGAGAACTTTAACTATCTAGGTCACATGTCCCATTATCACAGAGACTAGACTCAAACCAAATCTCTCTATGGCTAATGCTTGGGCTCCATACCTTCTTTTCTAGAACAGAATCTAGGATAAAACTTCACTAGCTGCCTCTGTTGGAAAGGGAATCCTGGTCAGGATGAACCTCTGCATGGACTAATTGGTTCATTCATTTCTTATTTACTATTAGAAACTCAAATATACAAAGAGCTTTTTAGTCTCTCCATTTTTACTCTGAAAAGAAAAAAAAAAGTGTTTTCTTGAGATCCTCATAATGGATCTTGGATGAAGTAGTGACCCTTTCTCGTTGGTTAATGATTTTGTGCTTCTCTTTATGTTAGTGCTGCCTGTGCTGAGCAGCAGGGGAGGGCCTGCAGGGCGGCCTTCTGAGCGTCAGCTGCCAGTGGTAGAAAAGAATTCTAACAGTGTTATATCTCCTGCTCCAGTAGCCGCTGGAAGACAGGAATATACAATGGGGAAAAACAGTCTCTTCAATAAGTGGTGCTGGGAAAACTGGAGAGCTAGTGTAAAAGAATGAAATCAGAATACTTCCTAACACCAAACACAAAAATAAACTCAAAATGGATTAAAGACCTAAATGTAAGACCAGAAACTATAAAACTCTTAGAGGAAAACATAGGCAAAGACTCTTTGATATAAATTGAAGCAAGATACTCTATGACCCGCCTCCTACAATAATGGGAATAAAAACAAAAATAAACAAATGAGCCCTGAAAAGTGAAAGTGTTAGTCGCTCAGTCACATCCAACTCTTTGCGACCCACGTAGCCTTCCAGGCTCCTCTGTCCATGGGATTCTCCAGGCAAGAATACTGGAGTGGGTTGCCATTTCCTTCTCCAGGGGATCTTCCTGATCCAGAGATTGACCCTTGGTCTCCTCCATTGCAGGCAGATTCTTTACTGTCTGAGCCACCAGGGAAATTAAACTTAAAAGCTTTTGTACAGCAAAGGAAACCATAAACAAGAAGAAAAGACAATCCTCAGAATGGGAGAAAATAATTGCAAATGAAGCAACTGACAAAGGATTAATCTTCAAAATATACAAGCAGCTCATGCAGTTCAATAGCAGATAAACAAACAACCCAATCAAAAAATGGGTAGAAGACCTAAAAAGACATTTCTCCAAAGAAGACATACAGATGGCCAATAAACACATGGAAAAGATGCTCAACATCGCTCATTGTCAGATACAATGAAAAGTGAAAGTGAAAGTTGCTCAGTTGTGTCCGATTCTTTGTGACCCCATGGACTATAACAGTCCATGGAATTCTCCAGGCCAGAATACTGGAGTGGGTAAATCTTTCCCTTCTCCAGGGGATCTTCCCAACCCAGAGAACCCAGGTCTCCTGCACTGCAGGCGGATTCTTTGCAAATTAAAAACTACAATGAGGTATCACCTCATACAGTCAGAATGACCACCATCAAAAAATGTACGAACAATAAATGGGGGACAGGATATAGAGAAAAGGGAACCCTCCTGCACTCTCAGTGGGAATGTTAACTGATACAACCATATGGAGAACAGTATGGAGATTTCTTTAAAAACTAGGAACAGAACTACCATGTGACCCAGCAATCCCACTCCTGGGCATGTACGCTGGGAAAACCACAGTTCAAAAAGACACATGCACCCCAACGCTCACTGCAACACTATGTACAATAGCCAGGACATGGAAGCAACCTGGATGTCCACTGACAGGTGAATGGATAAAGCAGATGTGGTACATATATACAATGGAATATTATTCAGCCATAAAAAGGGACAAATTTGAATCAATTCTAGGGAGGTAGATGAACCTAGAGCCTGTTACAGAGTGAAGTAAGTCAGAAAGAGAAAAAAAAATTCTGTATATTAATGCACATATATGGAATCTAGAAAAATGGTATTGATGAACCTATCTGCAGGACAGGAATAGAGATGCAGACATAGAGAACAGACTTATGAACACAGCCAGGGAAGGAGAGGGTGGAACTAATTGACAGAGTAGCACTGGAACAGATACACTGCCATATGTGAAACAGCTAGCTAGTGGGAAGCTGCTGTGTAACGCAGGAAGCTCAACCCAGTGCTCTGTGACAACCTGGAGGAGTGGGGTGGGGCAGGGTGGAGGGTAGGAGGGAGGTTCAAGAGGGAAGGGACATATATATATACTTACGACTGATTGATGTTCTTGTGTGGTAGAAACCAACACAACATTGTAAAGTAATTATCCTCCAATTAAAAATAAAATTAAAAATTTTTTGATAGTATGACAGACCCATGTTGTTAAAAAGATGAATAAGATCATATCCAAGATGGTAAAGAATCCACCTGCAATGCAGGAGGCCCCAGCCTGATTCCTGGGTCAGAAGATCTGCTGGAGAAAGGGATAGGCTATCCACTCCAGTATTCGTGGGCTTCTCTGTGTGGCTCAGCTGGTAAAGAATCCACCTGCAATGCAGGAGACCTGGATTCAATCTCTGGGTTGGGATGATCCCCTGGAAAAGGGAAAGGCAACCCACTCCAGTATTTTGGCCTGGAGAATTCTGGGTCGCAAAGAGTGGGACACGACTGAGCGACTTTCACTTTCACTTGTAAGAAGCTCACAACTGGGGGGAAGAGATGTGAAAACAGTTATAATACAAAGAAAGAAAGAATGTAGTGAAGGGCCCTGCTGGTCCAGCAGTTAAGAATCTGCCCTGCAATGCAAGGGACATTGATTAGATCCCTGCTCTGAGAAGATTCCATGTGCCAAGGGGCAACTAAGCCGGCGCTCCACAATGCTGAAGCTGTGCCCTGGAGCCCAAGAACCGCAACTACTGAGCCCACGCGCCACAATGACTGAAGCCCGCACACCCAGAGCCCCTGCTCTGTAACAAGAGAAGCCCCCATAATGAGGAGCCTGAGCATCGCAACCAAGGGTGGGCCCTGCTCGCCACAACTAGAGAACACCATGCAGCAACGAAGACACAGCACAGTCAGTAAATAAAAAGATCTTCAAAAAAATAAATAATGATGCAGTGAAATAAACTCTATGACGGAAATTTCTGCTAGGTGCTGCTGGGGCATAAAAGAGGAAATAACTGACTTCTCAGTAGCTTCCTTGGAGTCTCGAAGATGGAAAATTGAACTTTCAATTTATATTAAGTTCCATTGGAGTTCTTGAAGATTAATACCTCTTGTTAAGATTAATACCTCTTATAGATACTTATATCTCTTGTTATAGTTCAAGACAAAGTTAATTTGAAGGGGCATTATAAACTATTTTCTGCATCAATGTTAGTGCAATAACAATAACAATAGCTATGGCTATTTATTGGGTGCTTACTATATGCCAGATACTGCTCAGTACTTTACATAAATTATCTCATCTAATCCTCGAAACAATCCTATGAGGTATGTATTACTGTCTCTATTTTTTTTTTTATTTATTTAAACACTTTCTGGCTTTGCCACGTGACTTGTGGGGTCTCGGTTCCTCAACCAGGGATGGCACTTGTGCCCTCTGCAGCGGAAGGGCGGAGTCCTAACCACTGGACCACCGGGGAGCTCCCTACTATCTCCATTTAACATATGATAAAACTGAGGGTTGGAAAAGAAAAGCAGCTTTGGCTTATGACTATATTTTTGTTTTCCACTCCCCCCCGATTACCAATTACATGGTAAAACCTGGTATGTAGTTTAAGATTTTTTAATTAGTGTATAATTGCTTTACAATGTTGTGTTAGTTCCTGCTGTAAGACAACACGAATCAGCCATATGTAAACATATACTCCCTCCCTCTGGGGCCTCCCTCCCACCCTTCTAGGTCATCACAGAGCTGGTATGCAGTTTATTAAACATCACTGTCTACTGCCCCCTTGCCCAAAACTTTATCTTTGAATAGTGAAATAAAATCTTGAAATGCCTTTTTGTGAGATTTTTGGACCTCTTGCTAAATAGGTTTTGGAATTACAAACTTTGGAGGTGGAAGGGAAGCGTCAGGAATTCATATTTTACAGATGGAAGAACTGATCCCAGAGGAGTTAAGACATCTTAGCCAAGGTTACTCATCGTTCTGGAAGGAGACAAGGCTTGTCTCGCCTAACCCACTATTCTTGCCCCAGGGCCAAAGACTCAAGAATGTGCTGACTTCAATGTTTAGTACAATCGTCTTTACTAAGCATTGTTAAACATTTTAACCAACAACAAAACATTCAAGATGAAACACACTTTTTTTTTTTTAACTTGGGGACATGATTTCTAGGTGATCATCGGCATTTCATAGCCATTTATTTGACAAAGAACTTGATCCAATGAATGCTGTATACCGTCAAGGTAAGCATGACACTGCATAACACAGCAGCTGTTCATAACTTAGGGAGGGGGCAGACATGCAGTCAAACAGTTAAAATAATTACATACAAACATGTACAAAGGTCTATTGCGCTGTACAAATGTGTGAAGCAATGGTTCTCAGCTGGAGGATGGGTCCCACTCCCATATCCCCAGCAGACATTTGGCAAATGTCAGGAGATAATTTTGATTCTCACAACTTGGGGGAGGGGGTGGTGATACTGGCATCTAGTGAGCAGAGGCCAGAGATGCAGCTAAACATCCTCAAATTCACAGGTCAGCCCCCCAACAACAAAGACTTAGGCAGCCCAAAATGTCAACAGGGCTGAGGCTGAGGTGGTATACAGGCAGCAAAGTATTTTCTACAAGGGACTGGTTATGGGAGAGTTTACTGAAGAGATAAAGATTGGGGTGAGGGAGAGAGGGCCCCCAGAAGAAGAATCAGCATGCACACAGCCACAGAAGCAGGCATGTAGGCAATCGCATACACTGGAGGGAGGGTCACGGGCGTAAGGCTGGACAGCTAGGTAGGAGCTGACACAGGAGGAAGCAGGCTGAGTGGTAGGAGCCCCTGTGAGTGCGATCCATGGGTCCTGTTCTGGTGCTTCACAGGCCACTCAGGAGCACGGGCTGGGTGCCGACCGCTGCCAGCGAAAACTGTCCAAGTGTTTACAATGAGACTTCTATCACCTTCAGTCCTTAAGGTCTGGGGGTTCTCCAGGCATTTTACTTTCTCAGAGACAGAGTCATTTCAGTGCATAGGTTGTTTCAGTGGAATGTAAGCTCTCAGGTGGAACAGCTCTCTACTAACACCACTCAGCTGGGTCTCAACACTGTGATGAAATCAGGAGCAGGGATGAAGTGGTTATTCCTCATGCGTTAATCTTACAGGCAGATGATGACGTTCCACTTTCGGGTAGCAATGTAGGCCAGAAATGGGGATATGTGACCCTCAAGACTCGACTGCCACCTTGAATTTAAATGAATTGTTTTCCTCTCCCTGCCAAAAAACGGTGGGCAGGGAGGCTGTTTCAATCAGGGTTTCTCTTTCTCTTAACCTAACGATGACCAAAGCAACTGACAAACTGTCACGGAATCAGCCAGACCTCGCTCTGGCCTTCCTGTATCCCCAGTTCCTGAACTTTCCCTCCTTCTGTTATCTCTGGGCCCATTCTTAGCAAACTAACAAGTCCCAGACTCCTAATCTGCAACCATCCTAGAGGCCTGTTGAGCTCTGGTCCAAGTGTCTATCTCTGCCCCCTGGTGGCCTGATGATAGAGCTTCATGGAGGTGAGCAACCTTTTAAGTTAGCTGGTTTCCTGAGTGTAATGTGGAAAACTGGATCACAGAAGAGGGCATGGATTTTACAGCATGAAAGAAAATTCAGGGAAAAAGTTAACTTGTGGCAGTTTATAGCTTATATATTCTTTCCCGGCCTTGGAATAATTGAGAATTTAGAGAAGAGATTATGGCAGTAAGTATTGAAATCCACCACAAACTTTTGAGAAACATTAGCTAAACAAAAATATACTTTCCTTCTTAATGTAATCATGTTATTATTTTATATTGAAAAAACTTAATTTGCTCATTATACTATCACACTTGGTATTTTACACTTAAAGTTGAATTGATTAAACATATTACATTGAATTCCTTCAAGATCTCTTCAGAGCTAAAATAATGCAGTTATACTCTGAAGTTAGTGTTTTCTTGATTGTCATATAGATAAAAGAAGATGTTTATTCACTACAACTACAGGAAAGTAAAAAAAAAATTCAGATTCATCAACACGAAACTGTGACACGAATTATCATTTCCATTAGTTACCACTTCTTATATAGTTTAAATTATATATATATTAATCATTAAGATCAGGTTCTAGTTTCCTCTATCACAGGACCTTAAGATTTGCTCTTACCCTTCTCTGTCCTTAGCTGTTGAAACAAAAAACGTGTAAGTATTTTGTTTATAATTTCTAGAGAAAAAAGCTTCCGTTATTGCCTATTTCCACTACATTCTTATTCCTTTACAGTGAGGTCAGTAAAAATAGAGACTTTTTCTAATAATAAAAAAATTTGTGTAATTGTGAACCTCCCCTTATTTCAAAATTTCAAGCAGAAGCTGGAAAGGAGTGAATTAAATGACTTAAGATCTCTTTCAATTCTGAGCTCTGATAAGTCAAAAAAATCATAATTCTCCCTTATGTGAAAATGGCAGGATTTGTGAAGCATATGTCTTGCTAGTATGGTAACTCTGCCATGTGATTTGTCCTGTACAGATGAATCATATTTCTCTGTGCTTTTGGTTAATTCTTCAGAAAATCTGCCCATCAAAGTTTTAAAAAATTACTTTGAAGTAATAAAAACTGAGAAAAAAATGCTCTTAAATATGCAACAAATGTCCTTACTAAACAACAAATTCCCTTAAATATTTTATTAATCATGATTTCAAAAATCACAATTCAAAAATCACGAAAAAAAAATCTCAGGGAAAAACTAAGTATTTCTTCTGCAAGTTTCCAAGGACTTCATTACTCCTTGCCTTTTCTCTGTTTTAGAAGAATGCGCTTGGTGAGTGGAGAAGGATGGCTTTCTTAGACAGGCTTAGAAGGATGAAATCAATCCCTGACTTGGATTTTATCCCTCTGCCTTAAGGTTAGACTTTCCATAAGGGTCTGTCAGTGGGTGTGATTTCCTAAGGTTTCCAGGTAGAGCAATGTCAGAAACTTCTTTGACTTCCAACTGCATTCCTCCGTCTAGAGCAGTAGGAAGTTTTTATAGGTTTTTTGCCTCACAAATTTGACCCATTTGATAAATTCAACTGCATAAAACACTGGTTGGCTTTCTGGTGACTAAATGATTATTAGGATAATGGGCTCTTGGTCTTACAAACAGTTCAAACCCAGGCTTCGTCACTTAATTACTAGGTAACCTTGGCGAGTTCTTTAACCTCTCTAAGCTTCAATGTCAGTTGGTGCTAGTGGTAAAGAACCCTCCTGCCAATGCAGGAGACATAAAAGACATGGATTCAATCCCTGAGTCGGGAAGATCCCCTGGAGGATGGCATGGCAATCACCTCCAGTATTCTTGCCTGGAGAATCCCATGGACAGAGGAGCCTGGTGGGCTATATAGTCCATAGGGTTGCAACGAGTCAAATACTACTGAAGTGACTTAACATACAATCTTCAATCTCCTTAAAAATGGAAAAATATCTGTCTCATAAACTTGTTGTTGTGCAGTCACTAAGTCACGTCCAACTCTTTGCAGACTCTATATAAAGTTATATGAGGATTCATTTATACACAGTTATTTTCCACAATGAAAGATCAATAAATATTAGCTAATAAGATTAAGAGAATTCCTTGTTTTATAGCAGCGGCTATACTCTTGAAAGTCAGGATAACTGGCAAAATCGCAATTGGCAAGATGAATTCACATGAAATACACGTATTTCATATCACAAAATTCACCCTTCTAAGGTGTACAATTCAGTGGCTTTTTTTCATATTCACAAAGTTGTACAACCATCACCATTATCTAACTTTAGAACATATTTATCACTCCAAAAGAAATTCCATACCATTAGCAATCACTCCTCATTTCCCCCTTGCTCCAGCCCTAGCAACAACTAGTCTACTTAGTTTTTCAAATTTTAGTGTTATTGGTGTATAGTTGATTTACAATGTGGTGTTAGTTTCAGTTGTATGGCGAAGTGATTCAGTTATACATACATATATATTCATTCTTTTTTAGATTCTTTTCTCTTACAGGTTCTCACAGAATATTGAGTAGAGTTCCCTGTGTTATACAATTGCTGTTATACAATTGTTGGTTATCTATCTTATATATATAGTAGTGTGTGCATATTCATCCCAAGCTCTGGATTTGCCCTCCCCCTGACATTTCCCCTTTGGTAATCAAAAGTTTGTTTCTGTTTTGTAAATATGTTCATTTGTATCATTTAAAAAATTAGATTCCACATGTGAGTGATATTCTATGATATTTGTCTTTCTCTGACTTACTTCATTTAGCATGATAATCTCTAGGTCCATCCATGTTGCTGCAAATGGCATCATTTTCTCCTTTTTATGGCTGAGTAATATTCCACTGTATATATATATATATATATATATACATCTTCTTTATCCATTGCTCTGTTGATGGACATTTAGGTTGCTGCTGTGTCTTGGCTATTGTAAGTAGTGGGGGTGCATGTTATCTTTTTGGGTTATGGTTTTCTCCTGATATATGTCTGGGAGTGGGACCGCTAGATCACATGGTAGATCTACTTTTAGTTTCTTAGGGAACATCCATACTGTTCTCCATAGTGGTTATACCAAGTTACAGTCCCATCAACAATGTAGGAGGCTTACCTTTTCTCCACACACTCTTCAGCATTTATTGTTTGTATTTATCAGTTCAGTTCAGTTCAACTGCTCAGTCGTGTCCAACTCTTTGCAACCCCATGGACTGCAGCACGCCAGGCCTCCCTGTCCCTCATCAACTCCCAGAGTGTATTCAAACTCATGTCCATTGAGTCAGTGATGCCATCCAACCATCTCATCCTCTGTGATCCCTTTCTCCTCCCACCTTCAATCTTTCCCAGCATCAGGGTCTTTTCAAATGATTCAGCTCTTTGCATCTGGTGGCAAAAGTATTGGAGTTTCAGCTTCAGTATCAGTCCTTTCAATGAATAATCAAGTGTTGATTTCCTTTAGGATGGACTGGTTGGATCTCCTTGCAGTCCAAGGTACTCTCAAGAGTCTTCTCCAACACCACAGTTCAAAAGCATCAATTTTTTGGTGCTCAGCTTTCCTTATAGTCCAACTTTCACATCCATTCATGAGTACTGGAAAAACCACAGCTTTGATTAGATGGACTTTTGCTGGCAAAGTAATGTCTCTGCTTTCTAATATGCTGTCTAGGTTGGTCACAGCTTTTCTTCCAAGGAGTAAGTGTCTTTTAATTTCATGGCTGCAGTCACCATCTGTGGTGATTTTGGAGCCCCCCAAAATAAAGTCTCTCACTGTTTCTATTGTTTCCCTATCTACCATGAAGTGATTNATGAAAACTGACCTTTTCCAGTCCTATGGTCACTGCTGAATTTTCCAAATTTGCTGGCGTATTGAGTGCAGCACTTGAACAGCATCATCTTTTAGGATTTGAAATAGTTCAAATGGAATTCTATCACCTCCACTAGCTTTGTTCGTAGTAATGCTTCCTAAGACTCACTTGACTTCTCATTTCAGGATGTCTGGCTCTAAGTGAGTGTTCACACCATTGCAGTTATCTGGGTCATGAACATCTTTTTTCTATAGTTCTTCTGTGTATTCTTGCCACCTCTTCTTAATATCTTCTGCTTCTGCTAGGTCCATACCATTTCTGTCCTTTATTGTGCTCATCCTTGCATGAAATGTTCCCTTGGTATCTTTACTGTTCTTGAAGAGATTTCTAGTCTTTCCCATTCTATTGTTTTCCCCTATTTTCATTAATATGTAAAAGAATGATAAATTTAAAATTCTTTCTATACAACTGTAGGAAATAAGACTAGAAATAAGAATTTGCAACATGGCTGATTCAGGTCAATGTATGGCAAAAACCACTACAATATTGTAAAGTAATTAGCCTCCAACTAATAAAAATAAATGAAAAAAAAAAGAGTTTGCAACATGTTGTAGAGAATTTTGAATTCTGGGGCCCTTAAGAAAACACAAAACTTATTTTGGTAGACTATGGAGAGGAAAAAAAAGATTTTTGAGCCAGAGGAGGGTTAGCAATTATCATTTCTATCAGTATTATTAACTAGATCTTGCAGCTGATTAGATGATGGAGAATGAAGAAGAAAACAGCCAAAGGTAATTCAGATTTCAAAAGTGAGATGCTGGTAGTACAATAAATAGAAACAGAGAGGTCAAGTTGGAGAGACTAACATGGAAACGTACATGACCATGTGTAAAACAGATAGTCAATGGGAATTTGCTGTATGTTTCAGGAAACTCAAACAGGGGTTCTGCACCAACCTAGAGGGGTGGGATGGGGACGGAGATGGGGAGGAAGGAGGTTCAAAAGAGAGGGGACATATGTAAACCTATGGGCGATTCATGTTGAGGTTTGACAGAAAAAAAAAAAATTCTGTAAAGCAATTATCCTTCAATTCAAAAATAAATAAATTAAAAAAGAAGGAACTGATTGAGAAAGAGAGACCAGTTCTCTTTAAGTCATGTTGAATTTAAAGGACACAGTTGTGGGTTCAGAGATTCAGATGTGGGAGTCACATTTGTAGAAGCTGT